CTCCTCTGGACTCACCTCATCTACACATCTAAGGTGTGACCAACAGGAGTTCTAGACTGTCAGGTATCGAGTAAGGAACTTACTAGTGGAAGGTGTCCCTGCCCATGGCAGGGGGGTTGGAACTGGATGGGCTTTCAGGTCTCTTCCAACCCAAACCATTCTGTGATTCCTATCTTGATATCCTCTCAAACAAAAAGAAAACCCAACCCTGCCCTGGTGCTGAAGGCTGTGGTGTCATGGGTCGCTTCCGCTCCCAACGTCAGAGCAGATTGTGATCACTGGACTGAACCTGAAAAACGCAGGTCGCCGTCATCTCCCCCTGAGCTGACCAGGCGGCTCGTGTTTCAGAGCGAGATGAATCGTCACATCCAGAAGGGCCACGTTTATCTCACACGTGTTCCACGAACTTGCCACGTGGCCTCTCCCCTGATGGATAGATACCTTCCAAACGGATACCCGCTGGTTAAAATTCCTCCCTGGCAGAAGTTCAGTTGTTTGCACGAGTGTCAGCTGTCAAAACAATACGATGCAGCGCACTCCCCCATGAGCCCAGCGCCGGGCCTACATTGGAGCGCCCTTGTCTCTGTGCCCACAGCTTCTCCCGTCCCCCCACGGCTACCGTACTGGAGGGGTGCCTGCTTTGCCCCCGCTGTTCCGGAGTGCAGGCGGACGAGTACGTCACAGATGTTGTGTGGGATGGATCCCACGGCTCCAGTCCCATCCCGGTCCTCCGACCTACCTGGATGCCATCTGCCGAATGCGGAACTGTGAGAGCAGTTGTTCCTGTCTTGTACTGTAGCTACGCTTTGCTTTTCACTGCGGAGGAGCAGAGGACTCGGGACTCCCGCTAAATAAGCGTTTTGGGAAGCACAGCCGAAGGCTATCCGTCCTAAAAGCGTGTGTGCGTTGATTTGATGGAAGAGTCTTAACGATAACAATTTAAAAGGCAGTTTTCTTCAGGTTGTACCACACTGTTGGAAACTGAAATGGAAATGCAGTACTTCCTATGAATGCCAGTGTATTTATCCACCTTTTCCTGTAAAGATTTGAGCTTTTCGTCTTATGAACCCACCAGTTCAGCTGATAAGCTTTCCCACTTTTTTAAAAGGACCTGCCGAAATGATTGTAAGGCACGCCCCTCCCCCGCCCCGTTTTATAACATATTTCTGGAAAAAACCAGAGGCTTACGCGTCCGTTAGACTTTCACTGTATAAAAATGTACAGTGGCTTTATTGACATGTACATTCCATTATGTTTACAGCTGCAAGATATGAGGCACACTCAGTATTGCACTTCATTAAAATTTCAGGCTCAAACATAACCCAGAAGTTTAAATGAAACTGCTGTTGTAATTCCATAATTCTTATACAGGACAAACATTGATACCTTTATATACAGCGTGATACTCGTCACATTTATGCCTTCCTAACACCATTAGTTGTTGTTGTTTTATAACAGTCTAGGAAATAAACCAGAATATTCCTCTTTCCCATCCCCACCTGTGGTGCGTTACAATTGTACAAGATTACAAAAAGTCAGTATACAATAATCAGTATTTTGTCTGCCTTTCTCCCCAAAGCCAGCATCATTCATAGCCCACAGACACACGGATCCTTTAACAGCAATTATTTATTTGTAAATGTCCAATGTTTCCTAGCCGATGACTGTAATGGCCACATGCAAACACCTCACAAGTTTTGATGTCTCGGTTCAAAAAAATGTCAATATCTCACAGCAAGAATTATGTACATGGTATTTGGCATCCTTCTTGCACTGTAAATTGTTCCTTTTACCTGGGTTATGAAATGGTCCCGTCCTCATCCCGGCTGGACTTTTTATTTTCAGGACACTTGAGGGATGAGGGCACCTGTTTTGCTCTGGTAAAGAAACCAAAAATGCTACGTCTAAAAAGTGTGAGCATTCCACACAACCCAGAGCAAATTCTTCACCAGTGGGTGGATGGACAACGTGAAGTGGACATTCTGTTCCTTCGAGTTGTTTGCCTTTGGGACCTACAGTGGATTTAGGGGTGAGGGGGAAGGAAAAAAGAAAATAAAAGATTAATGCTTGCAGATGATGTAGATAAACATACAGCACATTTCCTCAAAATACCCACACCAAGTGAAAGGAATACATCTATAATATGAATTTACAAGGCATCAAAAATGAAGGATTAAGAAACAGCGGGTAGGAAGGTGCTTTCACATAGACTTGGAGCTTGAATTTGTCCAAGGGCTGAATAGGCCAAGAGAGAAAAACGCCAATTAGATCTGATAAAACACGACCCAAACCCATTAGCTCCTTGAAACAGCTGTGGCAAACGTTGAGCTGGGTGTTTGACTGGGAAAAAACCCCAGAACCCAAACGATCTAATTTCCAAGTCATTTAAAATAAACCAAATGCAAAGTACACAAGGGCAAAAATGGTACGGGGAGGATCACTAAAATGAGTTTTGTCTCATGAATACCGCAGAGGAAGTCAGTGCACTCTAAAAGCAAAATCGATTGCTGTGGCCAACAGCTACACTCAGCAGTAAACAGTAATTCTGGTGCTGCAGCAGAAATCGTGATTTTTTTTTTAAGCAGGGAGGTTTAGATTGGATATCAGGAAGAAGTTCTTCCCGGAGAGGGTGGTGAGGCACTGGAACAGGTTGCCCAGAGAAGCTGTGGATGCCCCATCCCTGGAAGTGTTCAAGGCCAGGCTGGATGTGGCTTTGAGCAACCTGGTCTAGTGGAAGGTGTCCCTGCCCATGGCAGGGGGGTTGGAACTAGATGGTCTTTAAGGTCCCTTCCAACCCAAACCTTCCCGTGAGTCTATGATTTTTTCCCGTGTTTACTTCTTTCAGGTAAATGATCAAAAAGTTCTCATTTTCTTTTTTTTCAGCTGCAGAAAAAAATAACGGGGTTTACTGATAGCAAATCAATGGCACGTGAGGTTAGGAACGAAGGCACCAGGGCAACAGTCTGCATGAGCTGGGTACTTAAACAGAGATACATCACTTAACGGCAGCGCGTTAACTTCCCTCCAGCATCACTTCAACACATCGTTAGGCATCGGGAGCCTGAATCGGCGTAGGGAACTGGGAACCGATTTCAGGGAAACCGAGATGTCTTTCTGTACTGACGTTTAAAGGGTCAGTGTGCTGATACCGCCAGAAAAACCAAAATAAATCAAAATCAGGTTCATTATCAATCAAAATCAAGCTGTTCTAACATCATTCAGGATTAAGGAATTGAAGGTTTGTGTGACTGACCCTGTGGTTTTCCTAAATACTATCGGCAAGGAAAGGGAAGAATATCAATTAGAGCAAATTCCTGATCTGAGAATTCCAACACGGTGAATCCACCTTGGAAAAATACTACCTGCTGGACAGTGTGGGAGTTCTTCTTTAGGGATGCTTGTCATTCTTTGGAAATCGTCGTGGCAAGCGTTGCAAAAATGCGTTGTCCCAAAACAGAAGAAAACGGCGACCGAGCAGCAGTAGCGGCATTTGTACTCCAGGAAATCCGTACCGTGTTTGGGACACATCTACACAGAGAGGGAAACAAGCGCCGATCAGCGGTGCAGCCGTGCTTGGACAACCCCAATGACGCGTTGCCACGTTCCGTAGCCCCCGTGACCGTCATGCAACGCCTTCACAAACGGCCGCGGGTCGCCGCGTTCAGCTCAGGGACGCGGAGCTCCAGCGCGGAATGGGAACGCGGACACAAGGCCTTTCCTCACCTGAGCCCTTGACACGTCAGAGCACGCGCCGCAGATGAGCTCTCTTGGATCGTAGTCATCCCCTTGGCCAGCCTCAGCGTCGCAACGAGCTTCGCCACCAAAATACGCCTAAATTTCAGAGGGGAGCGATTGGACATGAAACCAGAGACAACTACTGTTTCAACAAATTAAGGGGGAAATGATGAATAAGGGGCATGACTGTTGCCTCCGCGCTTCCGATAACTCTCGACTCTGACTCTAGATGAGATGTTTGTGAGGCACCAAAACAATGTCTCTCCGCCTCGGGATAAACAAGACCAAAAACTGTGCGACCTGCTCTGGTCTGTACAAGTGCCCGTGAGGCTTTGGAAACCACATCTGGGTGCTCTGGGAACTCTACGTGAGAGACGGGACTGAGGCTGAAGGCCGCAGAGAAACCTTCTGCCAGGAGGGGTTCTTGCTCTTGGCCCTCCCTGCCTTTCTACAGCCATTGTGAAAGGAAAGCGGTCTCCAGGCAACGGTGAGGAAGGAAAAAATTTCAGCAGCCTGCCTTCCCCCAAGCTCTCGCAGGCTAAACCGAAAGGGAAACCCCTGAGGAACGTATGCCAGGGAATCGGGTAGTAGTTTGGGGTGGACAGATGCTGGAGAAAGGAGAGGAGTTAGAAAGCAGATGGTTATATGCTGCTGTTCAGACATACGGTTGCAGTACGAAAGGGAAGAGTGAGACCCGAAGGAAAAAGAGGGAAATAATACTCAGTTATTAAGTACTGGAAAGAAAGTGGTAATGAAAAACAGGGACGGGAATAAAAACTGGAAAAAGATAATAAAGTATTTTTGTAAAGAAGGCAAAAAAGGCACCAGGGGAGTCGCTGAAGGATGAGGCGTGAAAACTGGTTAACTGCGGGACCGAGTGTGAACGGAGTAACGGTGTAGTAGGGAGCCAGAGGGATTCATTGCTGCTCTCCTCTAGCATGCGGAAGGGAAGTCAATCCTTTCTCCTCATATTTCCAAACCGTGCACTTAACATAAAACATGGGTATTTAACATAAAACCTATCGGGCTTCCCCCTGAAAATTTTCCCATGAAATTGCTGCATTCCCTTCGTTCCTAAGGTAAAAAAAGATGGGGTCAAGCTGGGCACTAAAATCAGCTTCAGACGAAAGAAGCTGTGCGAGGGGGTTATCCAGAATTTCTCCAACCACAGTTTGTCTTTGCTGGTGGGGATATCAGGGGCTGTTTGCACACAGTCTTTGGTCTTGAATACCCTCCGCCTGAAGAAAACTGTGCGTCTACGACCCAGAGTCCCTCAGGTTAGAGCACACATTCCCTCTTCCTTCCCCTTCCTCATTCCAATGCATCTGGCCATCACCCCTGTAGTTGCTGCACTGAGAGCCGAACTTAGGCGCCATCAGTTAAGGACGGCACCGTTTCCTTATCCCTATCCCGAGCAGCTGCATTACCACCAGTCAAAACTGCAGGAGAGACTTCCCATCTTTGGAGACGATCGCTGGGGAAAACCACACCCACAGGCTTGTGGTGGTGGTCAGTTTTTTTCCCCAAATTCACCATTTGCTGCAGTCCCAATCAACTCCAGCTCGGATAAAAGTAGCGTTGAGGTGGAATCTCAGCGAGGAACTCTCCGTATCGAAGAGTCAGGAGGAAAACTATGGTCGTACCAGGTTAATGTTCATGTGAAGCAGGAGCTGGGAGTGGGACCAAGGGGGGGTTGGTGTTCCAACACCGTATCCTCTGTAGGTTCTTCTAATGCGGGCTATCACCTGGATACGCGTTGGGTTTCCGCGCTGCCCTCTACGTACGTTTGAGCTTTATGAGACGCTACGTACGTCTGACCTGCACGACACTCTTTTAAAATCACTATTTAAGGGCACGATTCCCTTCCCTGCTTCCCTACTCCACACACGGTACGCCAAATACACGTTCCATTCGTTCAGAAATGACTTTTGAAACTGTCACATACACTGGATTTGAGAAAGCACGGAGCGTCGTACCTTCTTGCACTTGTAGCAGACGTAGTAAGCGTATCTGTTCATGGCGTAGCCAGCCGGGTCGTTGTAAAACCTGACACCTGGCGTAGTGATGGCCTCGCTCTTGTGCAACCCTTCATACTCCAGCCTCATCAGCGCTTTCCTCCTTACATCTTCATAGAGTTCTTTGATGGGATCAAGCAAATCCTTCAATACTGTGTGATTGATTTTGTTCTGAAATAATAATTAAAAAAAAACCCTCATTAAAATATCTTGCAACTTCATTACAACAGCTGTGGTAATCTGCGTTATGGTCGAACACAAATAGGGTAATGGATGTTGTACAAACGTAAAAGCTCAGCCAATGGACATTTCAAAAAATGGCCGATACCATATAGACTATTTCCTGCAAAACCAGTAACCGGAATGCTTTTTATGTGGTCTTTTGTTCTGTGGAATCATCAGCCCTTACAACAGACTGGAACAACCACAGAGGGATGGTGAGGGGTACACGAGATACTCCCTGCAGCACAGGAATATTCTGACTGTATGTTTTATGTTTTCCTTAATTTTAGGGTTTTTTAACTTACTACTCAACAATTAAGAATGATTAGGTATCAGGAAAAAATTAGGTTAGATACCAGGAAAAAATTCATCCTGGAGAGGGTGGTGAGGCACTGGACCAGGTTGCCCAGAGAAGCTGTGGATGCCCCATCCCTGGAAGTGTTCAAGGCCAGGCTGGATGAGGCTTTGAGCAACCTGGTCTAGTGGAAGGTGTCCCTGCCCATGGCAGGGGGGTTGGAACTGGATGGTCTTTAAGGTCCCTTCCAACCCAAACCATTCTGTGATTCTATGAATGATGACTGACAGTTCTCCACCCCAGGTCTTTGTTATTTAGTAGTAACGATCTGTTACCTTAAATTACAAAAATGCAGCCTGGGGAAGAAACAGGGCATGCAGAAATGGCTGTGTTTTCACTAATTTCATATTCCTGGGGTTTTACACGGTGCTCTGCTTCCCAGTACGCTTTTCTTACAGCAGTTAGGATTTTGTAGAGTACAAGAAGAATTTTTAGTGATTTAGGCTGTATTAAGTACACACATTCTTCAGCTCTGTCCTCATACCGAAAAGCAAAGCAGCTTTGAAAGGGGTTAGAAGAACAGAGAAGCCAAGTTTCCTGCTTCAGATAATGTGCATTAAGGTTACTTCGTCCCCCCCGCCCCCTGCCCTGTCAGCCCAGATACTGGGATTTTGGAAGCTGAGCAAAAAGCATTAAGAGGATGCCTGCACTGTGCTTTCTTTAAGCGGCCTCTTACTTCAGGGAACAGCAGGGGAAGGTAAAAAGATGCATCAGTGACACCCTTTCTTTAGTGACATGAGAAACGAAGGGAACAAGTGACATACACCTAATTTACGTTGTACTGAGCTACATGTAATTAAAAAAAAACAAGGAGGAAAACCAAAGACATCGGCAGGTACCCTGTTCAACTCAGGCAGTGAACACAGAGCTCGTTTACCTTGCAAATAGGGCAGGACATAAACCCAAAAGTGATCCTCGGCCCGAGCCATCTGTTTTCCAGTACTCGTTGACAGCATTGCAAATGGAAAACGTGGCTGCAGTCCAGCTTTAGGAAGAGAACAGACGCAAGCGAACGCTGACGTTACATGAACCGCTAAAATCAGTAGGTATTTGCTTTTTTAAGAGGCGACAGGCATCGATTCCAAAATTAATTAACACACTAGAAGATGCCTATTTTCTTCTTCTTAAAAAAAAAAAGAGAAGGAATATAAAATGACTGTTAAAATCACAATCCTTCCACTCCCAAACCACCCGTGGATACGTGAAATACGGATGACGTATATCCACTAATTCCCTCAGTTGTTTTTCTTGTTTATCGGACAACATGGGTCGGAAATCAACTGCGGAAGCTGAACCGACACAACCTGCTTCCTTCTCGGGCGGCAGTGCCGGACAAGAAGCGTTTTAAGTAACTTACACACTGTTACCGCGTCCGTTCTGAAACCTAAGCGCGTCACGGGAGCGACTCCGTGGTTTAACCTCTTACGCCCTTAAGGTTACAACCGTAAGGTGAAGAGAAAAGGTAAACCTGGATGGCTGGTGCTGCTGAAAGCGCTTCAGTGAAGCAGATCATGCACATGTCGTCCGCGTCCTGTTTCAGGGTTGCAGCAGTCTTATCGCAGCCGTGCAAGCAGGGCAAACAGTGCTCTTCGTTCTTAACGCCTCCGCAGGGGTGACCGCAGGGGTGGGTCTTGCTGCAGGCAATCTTAGCGTACTCCTAGTCAAAGGAAATAACGAACCGTCATTTATCTTCTTCCCTGCTCCACCCCGCAGCGCGGCTATTCGAAGGACCGCTCCTCGTGGAAGGAGCCGAGCGGGAAGAAGCGCGAGGAGATCCTCGTTGCCTACTGCGACAGCAGGTACCCCGGGGAAAATGGCACGTTTTGTGCACCTGAAGTAGAACCGACACCTTCGTTTCCTTACTTACTCCTCAGCGGCAATGGCAGGATGAAACCCCTGATTTTTAAATGTTAACATTTAATTTTTAATATAAAGAGAAACATTTTTTAAGCCTCCCTGTGCATTTTGTATACTGCCTCCTGCATACAGGCTGCTTGCCCTGTATTGACGACCTTTAAGGTACCTGCAGATTTCAGTCCTTTGGGAAAGGTATGAAGTAACCCCCTCCCAAGAACACCTCACGAGCTAACAGCTCCTTGTAAAGCCCTTTTGCATGGAAATGGTATTTTAACCACCTGTAATCCCTATCCCTAGGGAGTTGCCCTGAAGCTAACGACGAATTGAACTGGATTAATGTAACAATAACATATTCAACAGGCTGAGAGAGAAAGTTTGCCACACGCACGCAGAAATAAAGTGCGGGATAAGAAACTGGTTAGGATTTAGCCCTCTGCATCCCTAGGAAGCAGAAAACTTGAGTTGCCCTGAAGCTAACGACAAATTGAACTGGATTAATGTAACAATAACATATTCAACAGGCTGAGAGAGAAAGTTTGCCACACGCACGCAGAAATAAAGTGCGGGATAAGAAACTGGTTAGGATTTAGCCCTCTGCCAGCTGTACCTGTACCGCAGGACACAAAACCGCTCAGGGGACGTGGGTACAGTCAGCAAACTCAGCCAAGTCTTAAATGTTCAACGGGCTGTTATGCAAACCACTTCCATCGAGCTCTCCAGTACACCAGATTTCGTGTTAACAGTGTCTGTTTTACTTCATACTGGGAACGCTGTTGCGGAAACTCGAGATACTTTTGAAGATAATAATGAAACTACCCAGTATTTTGGTGGACTGTTGGTGTTTGTAGCCTGTAATTAAACTAAACCTTTACCAACTCGGGAAGTATTTGAATTACAACATAATATTAAAAGCTTTTCATGTGAGAGGTCTGATTTAAAATGCTTCATCCCACAGGGATGAGCAAGGTTAGCTCAGAATAAGGAATCAATTTGGTCCTGAAGTCCCTTCTATTTATGTAATTCACAATGATTGGTATTTGTTAATACACACCTGGCAGTCTGTATCGGAACAAACGCTTCCCACTGCTGATAATTCCGTTCCACTCCTACAGCCACAGAAACGGCACGCTTCAGAACTGCTGGTGGTTGGTTTGCCTGGGGCCGCAAGAACAAAAATTGTTGTAATGAATCATAGAGTGAAAGACCATCCAGTTCCAACCCCCTGCCATGGGCAGGGACACCTTCCACTAGACCAGGTTGCTCAAAGCCTCATCCAGCCTGGCCTTGAACCCTTCCAGGGATGGGGCATCCACAGCTTCTCTGGGCAACCTGTTCCACTGCCTCATCACCCTCTCCGTGAAGAATTTCTTCCTGATGTCCAATCTAAACCTCCCCACTTTCAATTTAAACTGGTTACCCCTTGTCCTGTCACTACAGGCCCTTGTAAGAAGTCCCCCCCAGTTTCCTTGTAGCCCCTTCAGGCACTGGAAGGCTGCAATAAGGTCTCCCCAGAGCCTTCTCTTCTCCAGGCTGAACAAGCTCAATTCTCTTGGCCTTTCTTCATAAGGGACTGATACTCTAACAACAGACATCTAAACAGCAATCCCAGAAAACAACCAGAAAAACAGCAATTCTTACACAAACTATTCTATTTTTATGAACACTTAAAGGCATTGCCCTAAATCCAACTGTGGTTTTATATTTTTTTTTTTGGTAAATCTGCATGTAAAAGGTAAAAATAAGCAGGATAAAAACAAGTAGTAATCGTTGTGTTTTACCTGTCTGTTCTCTGAACTCCACCATAGCCTTCATAGTTTTAGAATCTGCTAATGCCATCAGCCAGAAGAGTTTGGTCCTACCACAACCCTCATGGAGATCAACTTTGATAGCTTCTTCTTCTTCTTTGAATACCTGTCAGGTTAAGCAAACAGATAATAAACAGGGTGTCTGTTATTTTTGTCACTGTCTCTCTGGACTTTTGTCAGACGTTTGATAAAATTCTGCAGTTGGTCTCCCGCAATTTTTGTTTCTAAATGCATTCCGTAATCCGTGCGTACTGCAGAACGGATAGATGAAGGCTTTCTGTTGTTAAAAGCAGATGAAGTCGACACTTGAGCTGACGTGTCTGGCAAGCGACAGCGCAGCAATGCCGAGGGAGCCGCACAGCATCCTTCCTAGTTTAAAAAAAATAAAGAGCTTGGACTTCATAAGCACTGTTCAACTCACCCAGCAGAGGCCACAGTGTACTGAAAGCACAGGGTAACATTGGAAGTCTCCTCACACGACCGCGCCAGTAGCTTATCAAAGCAGCACTGGTAATTACGGTCTTACGTTCTGCTATACAACAGCAATTACAGAAGGATGTGACGTGAGTATTTTCGACTTTCACCTAAGCACAGAGTCGGTACTTTCAGTTACAATGAGGAAAATGCAAAATGTTTGCAAAAATTGCAAAAAAAATGCATGAGATCCTTAGTGGACATGACACAGTCCTTCCTTTTCTCCTTCCCTACGTTTTGAAGGCAGTTCTGTTTTCATTCATTTCACCTGCAAGGCAATGAAAGTTAGAATTTTCCCGGGTATGGATGTACACCCTCAATTTAGCCTTTAATTCTTATTAGAATCAGGGGGGAAAAAAACCCCCTCAGTTGCTTCGCAAAGGATTCACGTAAGCGGGTCGGAGCAACTTCAAGGCTGCCCTTGCTCGAAGGGAGGGAAAATACATCAAGGAGGTCTGTATGACTGAAGTTGGACAAAACCCAGGAAGCTAACGAGGGAAGAGGAGACGGGGGACCATGACAGAATTTAAAATCTAAATGGAGGGGATTAACACGAGAGGTGTGAAGGTGGTGAACAAAGAGTACAAGTTGAAACATGCTTTCAGAAGGAAACGGGAAAATCCGGTAAGCAGCTATTTTGGAGAGGTTAAAGGAGAGATGCGAGGACTTCTATGAGATAAGAACTTACTTTTTATCAACTGTAATCTGAACAGGCTATAGAGGAGAAATCAGAAAAATAAATGAGACTAGACTGTGCCGTGCCGTGACAGAAGAGCAGACAGACAAAATCATCATCTTAGGATGACAAAACAGGACAATTTCAAAGGGGACTGCAAAGATTCCGGCTAAGAAACAGAAGATGACGGATCCCCGTGGAGCTTCCAGAGTCTATGCTGCAAATGCTGAGGCACGGAGAAGAAGATGTGTCCGTAGAGCGAAACTCGGTGCCAGGGATCTGGTTTCCGTCACGCGTGCGCCAGGCTGGCCGATGCCCTGCGCTGCATGACCGCCAGCGGCGGGTCCCTGACGCCATCTTTGTTCTGTAGCGTCGCCTGGAAGGAATGCTGTTCGTGCACCCCGAGCCTGCTCCGTAACACAAAGCAGAGCACGGTAAGGAGACAAGGAGACTGGCTTCGAAAGCCCCTTCCTGACCCTAACGACAAAGCGAACGTAGGTGCGCTCTAGGAGAGGGGGAAGAGGGATGACTTCTGTTGAACTCACTTTGTTAGCGGGGTTCATCACCTCAGCTGTGGACCAACACAGTCAGAGCGAGAGGGGGAGAGGACCACAGACAACACAGGAGAAAAACAGCAGCAAGAAGGAGAGAATGTTCAGCCATTTCAGAGGTAGAAGCACCTTCAACATTAATTCCAATGAGGAAAAGAGATATTCCAAGGAGAATATAGCTTCAGGTCCACATATGAAGAGGGCAAGAGGTTAACACAAAAGAATGCTAATTAACAGAGTAAAACAGCAATTTGTAACAACTCATCTAGGTAAGTCAAAAAGACTGTTCAATCCAGCTTTGGATATGACGACATATTTCTCTATGAAAAGACAGTGAGAGCTGGAGGAATAATGAAGAGAAGACTGACATAAGGGAACCAGGAGGAATATGTGCTGTCAAGTGGTCTTCCTGGATATTCAAAAATGTACACACACTGAAAAGGAAGGGTTCGACAAGCACTGACTTACAAAAGAAGCAGTAAAAGGAGATACAGTTTAACAGGGATAAAGAACTGACATATATACTTAGGGAAGTCTATACAGTTCCTACATTTTCCTAAACGTACTGGGTTTCTGTGGCAAGGTTTTGGTAGTGAGGGGGTCTACAAGGGTGGCTTCTGTGAGAAGCTGCTGGAAGCCTCCCCTGTGTCTGACAGAGCCAATGCCAGACAGCTCCAAGATGGACCCACCTTCATAACACCTCTGGGATAACATGCTTAAGAAGGGGGGGAGAAAAAATGCACAGCTGCAGCCAGAGAGAGGAGTGAGAACTTGTGAGAGAACAGCTCTGCAGACCCCCAGGTCAGTGGAGAAGGAGGGGGAGGAGGAGGTGCTCCAAGCGCCGGAGCAGAGATTCCCTGGCAGCCCA